TTCAAAATATCTTCTTTTATGTTCTACAGAAGAAAAAAAGCAATTTAGGCTGTGAACGACATGGTGATGACCAAAGGGTGATGAGTAAATGCTGACAGTGCTTTTATTTTTTAAAAATGATGTAAGGTGTCGGCAGCAATAGTATGCCGCTGAAGGACTTTTATTTTGAATAACAGTCATAATGCATCTACGATTGTTGTCAGCTTCGCAAAACAATGCGGAAGTGTCCGTGTTGCTGATTACAAACTTCAGTAGAGAACTGACACGTACACAAGGTAACATAAGGTAAAATATAAATTTGTTTCTGATTGGCAGAGCACTGCTGCTTCAGCTCCTGTGATCTCGCTGATGTTCTACACAGCTACAGATGTTCAAGGGTCCTTGCAGGCTCATGTAGAGGAGAAAAATCGCTTGAGCACTGTGACTGGAACATCTGAGGAGCTTGGCAACTTCAAGATCACATTTGGCAAGCCCACTGCAGGGGAAGGTGCTAGTGGCAAATATGCCAGGTATGTTACATTTATTGTGGACTACAAACTTTTGTAATAAGTAGCTTTGTGAACAATAGTATTAGTAATAGGGAGGATTGTAGGTTTTTAGCAGTAATTTACTGCAACAGAATAAATAATATAATAGTAATAATACATTAAAACTACATTTATTATAGTATTCTATTAGTAATAGTTACTGATATTTGTTAATAATATATATTATTTACTGATTAATTGTACCTTTATACAAAGCAACAAAACATGGAAAACTATTTTAGTTTTGAATTAAAAAAAAACATGAAATCTTCACTTGCTTCTCAAACACAAAATCTTATAATTTAATAATAATTAATAATATAATTTATGCATTTAGCAGACGCTTTTATCCAAAGCGACTTACAGTGCATTCAGGCTATACATTTTTTTTTACCAGTATGTGTGTTCCCTGGGAATCGAACCCACAATCTTTTGCGCTGCTAACGCAATGCTCTACCACTGAGCCACAGGAACACGTGAAATCTCACTATTAGTATGATTCTCAGATGAACAGAATGGAGGAGTGTAGGTGCCGCTTGTCTGACTGAGACATTATTTTTCTTCTTTTGGAGTTTTATGGAGGTTGGCAAACAAACGATAGGTGCATTCCCGCCACCTACTGGGCTGGAGTGTGGACCATTGACGGAATAGGATGAACTAAATAAAAAAAAAATACACTGAGACATTTTTCAAAATATCTTCTTTTATGTTCTACAGAAGAAAATTTAATAATAATTAATAATATAATTTATGCATTTAGCAGACGCTTTTATCCAAAGCGACTTACAGTGCATTCAGGCTATACATTTTTTTTTACCAGTATGTGTGTTCCCTGGGAATCGAACCCACAATCTTTTGCGCTGCTAACGCAATGCTCTACCACTGAGCCACAGGAACACGTGAAATCTCACTATTAGTATGATTCTCAGATGAACAGAATGGAGGAGTGTGAGAAAAAAAAAAAAGATAAAATAATGTTTTCTGTCATATTGTTATTTTAACAAGTTACTGTATTGTTTTACTCTTTTTCTTTTCAGATATAATTACTTGCAAACTAAGAGCCCTGGCCTTGATAAGCTAACAGATATAGTGAAGAACAGCCTAAATCACAAGTTTGATTTCAGTCCTCCTAAAGGTGAAAAAAGATTTTATTTTGCTGTGGATTCTTACAAAGTCACTAACCACCAGAACCAACAGAAAGATCTTAAGATGGAGAGTGATTTAGTGGTGCATCAAGTAACAGTTCAAACCCCTTTCCAGATTGAAGTTTTGTTTGAATCCGGGAGCTTCCGGGAACGACCGAATCAACTTGTGGGCTCGACGCTTACAGATGAGCTGGAGAAGCGTAAGGTGGCATTTGACGAGAAGTTTGAGAGTACATTTGGCCTCCAAGCTAAAGGGTTCACATCTTCACAGATTAAATTTGCTAAGGCAGCTTTAAGCAACATGCTTGGTGGCATGGGATATTTTTTCGGACAGTCGGTGGTACAATCGGTTTATAATGAGCACCCTGTGCTTTACCCTGAGGGTCTGCTGTTTACGGCAGTACCATCTCGCTCTTTCTTTCCAAGGGGCTTTCTTTGGGATGAAGGATTTCATCAACTTCTCATCCGCAAATGGGACACTCAGTTAACAAAGGAAGTCATTGCACACTGGCTTGATCTTATCAATATAGAGGGCTGGATCCCACGCGAACAAATCTTGGATGATGAAGCACGCAGCAAAGTACCGTCCGAGTTTATAGTGCAGCACAACGAAAACGCTAACCCGCCCACGCTCTTCCTGGCCCTACAGGAGTTACTAGAGCAGCTGAATGCTCAACCAGAGTTGTCTCAAACCATGATTCCTTTCCTGAGAAGGTTGTATCCAAGACTGCAGATTTGGTTTGAGTGGTTTAATACCACACAAGCTGGACCAATGGCCAACTCCTACCGCTGGCGAGGCCGGGACAAAGACACCAACCTTTTCCTAAATCCCAAGACCCTGACCTCTGGCCTGGACGACTACCCAAGGGCTTCCCACCCATCTGCTGATGAGAGGCATGTGGACTTGTATTGCTGGATGACCCTGGCCTCTGGCATCATGGCAAATGTAGCACGAATACTTGGGGAACCCCACCTGGTGTACGAAAACACCCACCGTACTCTCAGCAATAATGACCTGTTAAACAAACTGCATTGGTCCGAGAATCTGCACGCCTTCAGTGATTATGGAAATCACACCCAGGCGGTCTCACTTCAGCAGGAGAAAGTGTTCGTGCCTCCTGGACAACCACGGCACCAGTTCCCAGTCACACGGTTGGTTCGCTCTGTTCGTAAAGCCCCTAAGCTCCAGTATGTGAATGCATTAGGCTATGTTAGCCTTTTTCCGTTCTTGCTACAAATTCTGACACCAGATACGCCAAAAATAGAGCATATTTTGCAGGACATTCAAGATCCTGAACGCATTTGGACACCCTATGGCCTGCGCTCGCTCTCGCACTCCGATCCCCTCTACATGAAGAGGAACACGGAACACGATGCCCCCTACTGGCGAGGACCGATCTGGATCAACATAAACTACCTGGCAGTTAGAGCACTGCATCACTATGGCAGCATCGAAGGGCCATACAAAAAGAAGGCAGCTACCCTATATCAAGATCTCAGGACTAACCTTATCAATAATGTTTACAAGCAGTATATGGAAACTGGATACATCTGGGAACAGTACAATGATAGCACTGGAAGGGGGCAAGGTAGCCACCCCTTTACTGGCTGGTCGGCTCTGACTGTACTGATAATGGCTGAAGAGTATTAAAAATCAGTAGCAGGCCAGAATCAGAATGATAAATCAAGGTCAACTGGTGCCATATGTTTATTACAACAAAGTGTAATTCATTTTTACATAACTTAGATGGATTTTTTTATTTGTTAATTTAATATAATAATGAAGAGTCCTCTTTAAATATTTCCGTTTTACGTCCAGTTAAATGTGATTATATCCTCAGGTTCGAAAAGCCATGGGCTTTTTCTGGATCAGACAAAACAGTATCATCTGTGTGAACCAGGAGGAGACTGTGCACTTATTTTGGTCCATTGCTGTTTGGCTTCATTTAACAGAATAAATTAAAAACGTCCTATAAAATCATTCTTCAGATGAATTGAATCCTATACTTTATATTACAATCATATCTCTTTATGGATGGTGTTTTTAAAAAAAGTGTTATGTAATTTACTTTGATTATAAATAGGGTTGGAGATTTGCTCTCTTTCTACTGTATATAATTCATGTGTTAGAATTTGAATTGAATTGGCCACAATTCACAGCAAGTTGAATTGCAATGACAGAAAAAGTAATATGCTGAATTGATTCTTTCTGTTTGTAAGGTCTAGACATTTTAAAACTTTTTTTTTTTCAAACAAGCCTTTGTCATGCCAGCATTCTAAGTTAGTCTTAACAATCTTTACTTTTCTGCTTAAAAAATACACTTAAACTTATCTCAGTTCAGTTTAATTGTACTTTCTTAACAATTTTAGTTAGACGTGTAAAAACATTTGAAGAAATGTTCATATACTAAGTACAACAACAACAAAACAAGTTTAAATATGAAAGTTGATATTGTTTTGCAGGAAAGTATATATTCTCTGTCTGTGTCTACATGAAATTTTATTCTGTTTCAGGTAGACAGTCTCCGTTTTCTTTTAGTCATAAAAATGAGTAAACATAAGGTAGGTGTTTGTGCAGAAACCCTGTCAACATTTCTTGCCAGATTGTCAAATGAAGACTAGTGGTTGATTTCTCTTCTGCATATAGTTTACATTCAGAGTGTGGTTCTTGCTTCTTATGCACTAATGCTAACACTGAAGAATACATTCTATTTTTACAGAGGATTGAGAGGTGGCATTTTAAACGGTTCAACGTGATGGACCAGTAACCCTGTGCCAGTGTGAGAGTGTTTCAGGCCAGTTGACAGAACACTTGATCTTTCCAGCCAGTTCTGTGTTGCCACTGAAAACGTTACATTCATTTATCTTGAACATCCTTTTTTTATGGCTTACATTGTATGCATTGTACAATGCAAAAATGACTTGTGATAGCCTTGGAAGCATCAGCAAGAATATGTTAAACTACAAACCAATCTGTAATTTTTTAAGCATTGTATGACATTGTTTTCCAGATTTTTTTTTATTTTTATGAATATGGAGCTACATTAAAGCTGTAATAAATTCCAGCTTTGTAGGAAAATAGTGAATTTTTTTTTAACAAAGAAAATTATATTGCTTTTATTTATTTATTTTTCAAGAAATTAAAATGTTGGTAGGTCAAGTAAAAATCTTAACTACTAGCTGACCGAGTAAGCAGAAAAATCCTTATTGTTAAGCACAGTTTAGTGCTTTATTTGTAGCTTGAATGAGTGCAGATTTTCAAACACATTAATTATGTGGCATGACTTAAAAACAATTCTTAATTAGAGGTAGTATTTGCATTTCTGATTTTATTAATCTGAGCTTCAGAATCTGTAATTTACATATACATTAGTGTATTAAATTACTTTTGCTGACCTAAAGTGTCTTATACATATTTTATTTTAATTTGCTATTCATTCAGTAGGTTTACAGTTTAATGAAGCAACACTTTTGGGGCCCGTAAGAGGATAGGTAGCTAAGCTTGTAGATTAATTGTGTTCGTTTAAGTGTGTTGTTGATGATGATCGGAGGGAAAGTTCAAAAGTGTTGACATCCCTCTGTTTACACACTCCTGGTTGTGTCAGCAGTGTTTTGGAGACTTAAGCCTGTTGATGTGTCAATGCTGTATTTGATATTTTTTATTTAAATTTTTTTTTTTTACTTCAATATCTTTTAACACAATGAAAGAACCATGTGGCAACGTGAGCAATATGACGAATGATGAGAGATGAGTTAAACACACATCTTCCTCTATATTTTCATTCCCTTTGGGCAGCATAGCATGTGTTTCCTCATGGGTATTGCCATTTGAAATGCATCTCCCAGCCTTTGTAGTTTTTGGTTGTTCGGTGTGACTAAAACACTCAATGCGCAATCCCCCTCCCTCTTCTCAGACGCACGGTACAATGGGATAATAGCCAAAACAGCATTAGCCAGATCTAACGCACAGGCATAAATAGATGAGTCAGAGTTCCTCCATTTGCGCATTGATGAGATCCCGAGCCTCTGTTTGCATCTATTGGTAAGAGTAGTTGGGGCATATTTACGTGAGTCACACTTTCTTTTGCCCCGTAATGGGACAATTATTGCATTACATTCTCAAAGCTTCCTGTTTTATGAAGTGTGAGTTTCATTTGCTGATTATATCAACTCATGGATAACAATTCACAACCTCATTCAGTCGAGCTCAAAAGAATCAATATTTTAGTGTGGAGAGTGTAAAGACCGTATACGACTGATAGGGGGAGCCATTTACTCACACTCTGTGCGTCAAACGAATGTAGTTTCTGACACCGGCTCTTGACAGTGCTCTCTTTTAAACAAGCTACTGTATCAAGTATAGAAGACTTGTCCAGCTCTACTTCAATCAGTATCATTAGCCAAACAGATTGTGACGTTGTCGTCTCAGGCCCTCAGCTGTGTTCTCTTGATTTTGTGTGGAATGTAGTGAGTGTGGCTCACAGTGCCAGTGGGTAAAGTCTTGTGTTTGTTATCCCTGACAGCGTTCTTTCCATCTGTCATAAGCACTTGTTACCTCAGTGAATCAAGTGGTGATGTAATCGCTGATACAGTGACGTTCAATGGCGAACATCTCCCACCACCACAGGCTGATATGCGTCCCATGGGAGCTTGAGTTGCTGATCAACAAGCACATGTATGCTGAGCTTTGCCAAGCGTTCACCCTTTAGCAGTGCAACCATCAAATCCAATCCACTGTTGTCTTTTCCCCTCTCTGTTCAAACTCTTTCTTTCTCACTTCCTCCCCCTCCTGTAGCCTCTCATGCTTGCTCATAATCTTCAGTGTAACCTCCAGACAGCACTCTCGCACACTCGATTTCTAGGGCCAGTGCCCCAGTGCCATTCACCCCAAAACCCAACCTCCCTCGGCCAGCGCTGGTCTGTGTGGAGATTATGTAAGCCTGCCTCTATAAATAGTGGCGTTCGGGATCTTTTGTCTTTACCTGCTCGCTCTTAGCCCAACAGTTTTATTTCTGGAGAGCTTGTGGAAGCAGTGCCATGCAGAGCGCCTGTTACCATAGTTACTTATGTTAGCGAGGAAAGAGAGAGAGAGAGACCACATTCTTATTTGGTTTCCTCATAGCAGCAGTGCAATCTGTTTCAATAGACTCATTCCTTTTCAGTCTGTAGTTGTCCCTCAGAAAAGGTGAATTCTTTTACAGGCTTTTATTGAATCACCTTGATAGGGTCAGTCTTTATGAAGTCTACCTCCTGAAGAAATACGCAGTGCTGGCTGCTCGAATTACACAGTAGGAAGAGGACTGCCATGCAAGTGCACAATGAGTTTGTTGATTTCTCCAAATGGCTCAGGTGGCAGCTGGGGAGTTGAGGAAAAACTTATGGGCCTCGTCCCCAGTAACAAGGAAGAGTGCTACAACATTGAGCGCCCTGCTGAGTAACAAGAAGTGAGCCCTGTCGCCGTGGTGCCAAGTTAATTTAAACTCATTTATCGTGATTAGATAACTCTAGGTAGCTGGAGGAGAGCCAGATTGGCTTGCTGGTATGCGCTGTAGCTGTGGCTCAGAGTAGAGAAGAGGTTGCTGGGAATGTGGGGGTGTCAGTCAGAGCGGGCGGGGAACTGCTGGAACCCTCTGCAGTCACGATCAGGAAGAAAGCCTAAGCTCCGGCCCCTCCCAGCCTGAAAGGCGAGGATGGTTGTCCGGGGACAAGGGTGGGCGAGCACAAGGGTGTATTTCTGGAACTGCAAGGGAAACCTGCAGCTCGCTGAGTGGGGTTTCGGTTCTGCAATCGGGCTTCCCTAACCCCACTCCCACACTCCTTAGACGGAGGAGAGCGATAAGTCGCCGGTTCAAAAGATCCATGCTTTCTGAAAGGGGCTCAAGCGCTGGAGCGTGGTCATGCATGGGATTGTGATTGAAAGGGAAAAGAAAGCAAAATTATTTGGCAGCGTGATGCAAGCTTGCATCGAGTCGTGTTTCTGGTCGTGGAAACTCTGATGTTAGCTCTCCCAATCCCTTTTTTCGGTTTCTCATTGTTGCTAGGGTTTGAGGAAGATGAGCCTTCATCCAGTGCCATTGGGGGGTTTGTAATATGGGACATACTTCAGAAATGTGATGTGGAGGGCGTATGATTCCTCTGCCTCTTGAAAATCTACCAGACATTCTTGAATGTACTCCAAAGCCTTTCTTTTCAGTACGTCGTCATGCATGTCAAGCCCATAAGCTTGAGCCTAAGCTTTTTGCAATAGTAAATAAGTTATTTTATCATAATATTTTACAGAAATCTTTGTTGCTCCTTTTTATTGCTCTGTTTTTGTACTGTTAGATGCAATATTTTCCAACTTTCTCTTTGCAGTGCTGCTTCTTCCTTCAGCTCAATCATTGCTTTGGGAATTAGTCAAATTATGTGTGGATACGATTAGACCATTTGATAATGGTGTTGTTTAGCGTTCTACAAAATGCTGCTATGAACAGATGGATCACGAGCATGAAAAAAAATGAGTGAAGACAGTGTAGAGACAATATTCATTTCATTTTCACATGCACTGCACTGGCAGGAGCTTATACTGACAAACCAATATTATCTATAGACATCTATTTTGCCATTCGATTCTATTCAAACACTGAATGGGCTTGAAATATCTGATGTTGCAGTGGAGCTCAGATCATCCGACGTTTCCTTTCAAACAAACTTTTAAGAAAATACTGACAGAACGATGGTCTCATTACACTTTTACCTTCATTGCATTTCTTTGGTATAATAATCTTGGTAAGTGCAGGAATTACATAAATCCATTACTGAGCTCCGTGGCATTTTGCAGAGGCGAGAGGTGAGCGCTACTCGGCAGTTATCACAACAGCGTCTCAGTGTTATGAACTCTTTAAGAGGAGAGCTTTTTAATAGGTTTAGGTCAACTGGAGAGGGAGATATTAGGGGCTCGAATAGGGGAAAGTAGCCTGATGCGAACAGTTACCTCCAGAAAATGTCAAACTCGTTGTTAAGTGTGATTTTGTATCATCATAATAAGAGGAATATTTCATGCACCACCAAAGCCAGTTCCATCATGCATATGGCCGCTTCTTTGTCATCGTGCTTGTGTATTTATGGAAACCTCGCCTAAATGGGTTACATGGCAAATTTATTTACTCAGGGCTGTTCCAAAATAAATGAAAAATACTGCCAGTATTTTCAACTATTGTATGCACATGCTGTTCAATAAAAAATAAGCCATAAAAAAAATTTAATAAAAAATACATAAATAGATTTGGTGAACAAAGGATACTTGAGTAGGCATGTGCTAAATAAGTGCCTCGCTTTTTTCAGCCCACTGCTCAACATATTCTTCCTCGTCTCTTTTTGTCCTCCATTGGTGCTCCAGTGGCCTATGTAAAGTAATATTGCACAAGAGTAGCAGTCACAGCTATTAATGCACCGTTGGATGGGGCAAACCACAGTTCTCAAGTGATTTTAAAGGCACCTCAAATTCTCATAAAGTTTCCACCTACCTATTACAGGACAAGTGGACATCATTGTCCGCCATGGTTCTTTAACAGAGGTTTTGCAAACCATGCCATAAAGTACTGCTTAAGCTGGTAGCTGTTGTTTGGAACATGATAGCTCTGATCATTAGCTGCTCCAAGCTGGTAGACCATCTTGAACCACAGTTCAAGCTGTTTTTTGAGCATGGTGGCTGGTCAGCCAGCTACTATGTTCCAAGACAGTTTCCAGATTAAACTGGATTTTGCAACAGGGAATTAGTTGTAGAGAGTAAAGCCACCAGTGTAGGAGTTTCCATGTGCTACTGTTGTAATTTTTAGAACATTTGGCTAAGAAGCTGCAAAACATAACTTTAATTTTATTAATCTAAAATCTAGGCTACTTTTTTGTTCTTATGAAATGCCTTCTTAGAAAATCTGTTTTTAGATATTGTTCAATAACTTTCAATATTCCCATAATTTCTTGTTGAAGAGGCAAAATCCTAGAAATTGGCCTAGATTTGACAACAGTACATGGGTAATTTAAACATTATACAAC